AAGTGACCACTGTCCTCACTGAAAAACACACCACGCACACTGAAGTGACCACTGTCCTCACTGAAAAACACACCACGCACACTGAAGTGACCACTTTCCCCACAGAAAAACCCACCACACACACTGAAGTGACCACTGTCCTCATTGAAAAACCCATTATGCACACTGAAGTCACCACTGTCCCCACAGAAAAACCCACCATGCACACTGAAGTGACCACTGTCCTCACTGAAAAACCCACCACTCACACTGAAGTGACCACTGTCCTCACTGAAAAACCCACCATGCACCCTGAAGTAACCTCTGTCCCCACAGAAAAACCCACCACGCACACTGAAGTGACCACTGTCCTCACTGAAAAACTCATCATGTACACTGAAGTAACCTCTATCCCCACAGAAAAACCCGCCATGCACACCGAAGTGACCACCGTCCTTACTGAAAAACCCACCATGCACACTGAAGTAACCACTGTCCCCACAGAAAAACCCACTACACACACTGAAGTGACCACTGTCCTCACTGAAAAACCCACCATGCACACTGAAGTGACCACTATCCCCACAGAAAAACCCACCACACACACTGATATGACCACTGTCCTCACAGAAAAACCCACCATCCTCACTGATGTGACCACTGTCCCCACAGAAAAACCCACCATCCCCACTGAAGTGACCACTGTCCCTACAGAAAAACTCAACATCTTCACTGAAGTGACCACTCTCTCCACAGAAAAACCCACCATCCTCAATGAAATGCCCATTGTCCCCACAGAAAAACCCACCATCCCCACTGAATTGACCACTGTCCTCACAGAAAAATCCACCCTCATCACGGAAGTGGCCACTGCCCTCACAGAAAAACCTACTGTCCCCACAGAAAAACCCAACATTGTTACTGAAGAGACCACTGTCCCCACAGAAAAAACCACCATTCTCACAGAAAAGACCACTGTCCCCACAAAAAAACTCACAGTCCCCACTTTAAAGCCTACTGTCCCCACCAAAGAGACCACCATCTCCACTGAAAAACCCACTGTCCTCACAGAGACAACTACAGTCCCCACAGAAAAACCAACTATCCCTACCATCTCTATTAAGAGGCCCACCATTCCCACTAAAGAGCCCACTGTCCCCACCGGAAAATCCACCATCCTTACTGAACAGTCCACAGTCCTCACTCAGCAGCCAACTGCCCCCACCAAAGAGCTCACTGTCTCCACCAGAAAGCCCACAACTACTGTGACACCCCTGGTGCCCACTGGTCACAAGTCAACACTCTTGGTGATGCCTCTAAGTACTCAAAGTGCTTTCGTGACCAATGTAACCCTGGGCATCACCTCAACCCCCGGACCTGCTACAGGTATGAGGTGGGTAGGGCGTTGATCAAAGTTGAAAGTAAGAGACAGTGACTAGGAGAGAGAGTCAGGGAAAGGGATGCTTCCTGTAGAAAAACTTCAGTATTACAGGAGAGCCATGGCAGTCCATGGCGACCGACTTTAGAAGAAAGGATGAGGATGTCCACAGTGAGGACAGTGGGGCCTGAGTGGGTGGGATCGTTGGGAACCAAGCCCTAAGCTTTCTTCTGCTTATTTTTTACTGAGCTATAATTCATATGCCATGAAATTCTCACTCTTAAAGTGTAAGCTCTCTTTTTTAGTATCTTCACAAGGTTGTGTGGCCATCATCATTATCTATTTATTGTTGAGGATTCATTGAGGGTACAGAGAACCAGGTTACACTGATTGCATTTGTTAGGTAAAGTCCCTCTTGTAATTGTGTTCCTCCTCCAAGAAATGTGTCTCACACCATGGCCCCTCCCTCCCTCCCTTTTACCTCTCTCTGATCCCCCTTACCCCCACCCCTATCATGTACTAGGTCATCAATTGTCCTCCTATCAGAATTGAGTACATTGGATTCATCATTTTCTAATTTAGATATTTTCATCACCCTGAAAAGAAACCCCCATAGCAGTCACTCCCTATTCTCCTACCCCAGCCCTTGACAGCCACAAATCTCCTACCTATACCCATGAGTTGGCCTGTTCTGGATAGTTGACATCAATGGAGTCCTACGATATGTGGGTCCTTGTGTCTGGCGTCTTTCCCTGAGCATAATCAAGGTCACTAGTGTGGCAGTATGCATCAGAGCTTCATTCCTTTTTATAGCTGAATAATATGAACCTGCTTCTTAAAGAGGCACTTGAGTTTGGGGGTAGGGGAGAGGCAGGAGGCCTCCTGAGGAAGGCTATGAAGTGCAGGCTTCATGGAGGCTGTTCTCTCTCCTTAGAGAGCTGCCCCCCAAATGCCCACTATGAATCCTGTGCTTGCCCTGCTTCCTGCATGAACCCCAGGCCCAGCTGTGGGTTCCTCTGCCAGCGGGGCTGTGTCTGCAATCCTGGCTTTTTATTAAGTGACAACCACTGCATCAATGCCTCTTCTTGCCATTGCTTCTACAACAACCATCCCTATCAGGTAAGACCACAGGGAGGCTTTGATCTGAGGGATGCTGATGGCTGAACACCTGGGTTCTCGCTTCATCTGCTTCCTTGATGAGGTGAACTTGGGTCCATGAGATTTTCTGAAGGGGTGGGCTCAGAAAGAGTGATGGAGTCATTCATTCAGTAAGTGGTTTTTGATGGTTCCCTCTGTTCATACCTAAAGTCTCTGTGAAGCTCCTACTTTGGCCCCTAGGATGCTCGACTGTGCTGAGGAATAAGACCTCCCACAGTCTAGGGCTAAGTGTTCCTTCTAGACTCAAAATTCTCTTCTTCCAGAGGACCTTGCAAGTCCTGATAGGTAAAAAACAGAAGAGTTAACTGTCCTTGCCTCCCCTATTGATAGTCTCCTGGGGAGATGCAACAGAGCAGAGGCCCTTGAGGGGCACAATCTCTGGACCAGCCATTGCTGTCTGACAGGGATAGCCTGTGAGCCACACATGTCAGTCATTTTACATTTTCTAATAGCCACATTAAAAAAGCAAAAGGAGGCAGCACTCATAGCTCAGTGGATAGGGCACTGGCCACATACACCCAGGCTGGGCCAGCTAAACAACAATGATGACTGCAACAACAACAACAACAACAACAACAAAATAGCCAGGCATTGTGGCAGGAGCCTGTACTCCCAGCTCCTTTGGAGACTGAGGCAAGAGATTCACTTAAGCCCATGAGTTTGAAGTTGCTATGAGCTATGACACCACGGCATTCTACTGAGGGTGACATAGTGAGACTCTGTCTCAAAAAAAAAAACAAAAGCAAAAGGATCTAGCACAGTGGCTTACACCTGTAATCCTGGCACTTTGAGAAGTTGAGGGGGGAGGATTGCTTGAGGCTAGGAGTTCAAGACTGGCCTGAGCAACCTAATGAGACTCCGTCTCTATCAAAAAATTTAAAAATATTAGCTAGCCATAGTGGTACTTCTCTGTAATCCCAGCTATACAGGAGACTGAGACAGGGGATCATTTGATCCCAGGAACTGGAGGAGGTTTGCAATGAGCTATGATCACATCATTCACTGCCCTCCAGGAGTGAGCCTGTCCCCACCCCCCCAAAAGGGCAGTGCCCATAGCTTGGTGGGTGGGGCACCCACATACACTGAGGCTGGCGGGTTCGAACCAAGCCCAAAACCCAACCAAGGCCAAGTAGAACAACAATGACAACTACAGGGTGGCGCCTGTGGCTCAGTGGGTAGGGTGCTGCCCCCATATACCGAGGGTGATGGGTTTGAAGCTGGCCCCAGCCAAACTGCAACAAAAAAATAGCCGGGCATTGTGGTGGGTGCCTGTAGTTCCAGCTACTTGGAGGCTAAGGCAAGAGAATCGCCTAAGCCCGAGTTTGAGGTTGCTGTGAGCTGTGATGTGACAGCACTCTACTGAGGGTGACAGGGTGAGACTCTGTCTCAAAAAAAAGAAAATGACAATTACAACTACAAAAAAAAAAAAGAAAGAAAAGGAGGAAATAGGTGGGTAAGTGAATTCCAGTAATCTACTCAATCCCAAATATTATCATTTCAATGTAAACAAGAAAGGATTATTCATGAAATCATTTACTTTTTTTTATAGGAACTCTTCAAAATCCACTGTGTATTTTACACTTAAAGCATATCTCATTCTGACTGTCCACATTTCAACAGCTCAGTGGCCCATGTGGCTGGTGGGCACTCTATTGGACAGAATAGGTCTAGAGTCAGGTAGACCTAAGTTTAAATCCTGGCTCTAGTACTCATTTGCTGAGTGACCTTGGGCAATTTTCTTTTCCATTTCCATATCTATAAAGTGTGCACTGTAAGATTGTTGTAAGGATGAAATTAGATCCTAACACATAGTAATTACTTAATAAATGTTAATTACTATTATTAGTAACTCATGATAAATGTCATGCAGCCTACTAATTAAGCACTTTACTGATGTCCAGTGCCTCCTCTCAGCTCCAGGTGTCAGGTGCTCTTCCCATTGACATCAGAGCTCCTACTTGTTTCTTATGGGACCAGTTCTCCTAAACCCCTGTAACAATCTCCAGGGTCTCCCTGAGTCAGTGTCAGGACTAGCTTCAGCTATGGCTTGGGCAGAAAGATCTGTCACACCCATCTGCACCAAGAATTTCTTCCTTCAGCCCTGGGAGGTAGACATTAACTTACGATATATTCATTTATGCATTTAACAAATGTTTATTTAGTACTTTCCGCCTTCCTGGCATTGGGGTCACCATGAATAGGGCATGGTCCTTGCCTTCACAATGCTCTTGGATTCAGGGGAACATACTGTGTCTATGGTTTACTCTTTCATTCAGTGTGCATTTATTGAACAAGAATGCTCATGCTGGGGCTAGGATGGTGAGTAAAGACAGATGTGGACCCTCACCTGGGGTGCTTATAATCCATAATGAAAATCAAGTGCAACTGTGGTAAGTCCTTAAAAAGAAAGGCACCTGGAGCTGAGGAAGTCTTCCCAGGAAAGCCACCTTTGAGTTGATCTTTGCTTGTTGCATAGGAACAATTTAGAAAAGGAGAGGGAAGAGCATTCCAGGATTAGAGAACAGCAAGTACGAATGTCCTGTGGTGAGTGGGAATAGCAGATAGGTGGTGGGAAGAGGAAGTGTATGAGCAAGTTTAGGTCTTTGCATGGGAGATCTGTCTTGGGCATGGTGGGAAGAAGGGGGAAGGCCCCCAAGAGCTACGGCTTTGTGACTCCAGACCTCTTATTTCCAGACTGGGGCAGAGTGGTTTAGCCCCAACTGCACAGAACGTTGCCGCTGCTGGCCTGGCAATCAGATAGAGTGCCAGAGCTCTCAGTGTGGGACACATACAGTGTGCCAGCTGAAAAATGGCCAATATGGATGCCACCCTTATGGTGAGAGCCCCCTCATGTTGTCCCTGCCTGCCAGCTTGTTGGAGAGGAAATGACACTGGGAACCCAATCCCTCACTTAGGCAGAGGAGCTGGGGTGTGCCACTAGGAAGGTGGGCCCACTATGTGGAGGGGCGGGGGCGGGCAGTGGAAACAGCTTCTCCTTGTCCCCTCACCCCCCTCACAGGCATTGCCTCCTGCTTGGTCTATGGAGACCCTCATTATGTCACCTTTGATGGGAGGCACTTTGACTTCATGGGCAGATGCACCTACATCTTGGCCCAACCCTGTGGCAACTCAACAGGTAGGAAGAGCCCTGGACATGCCTGCCTTAGCCTGCTGGGGGTCTGCAGGCAGAACTGCTGGGTGTAGGGGCATGGTAGACAGCAGGAAAGGGTTGGGAGTAGATGGGGAAGGAGCAAAACCGGAGCAAGTTCTTCTGTAAGGTCGGGGCTGAGACACCTACCCCGGAAGCAGGACTTTCTCAGGCTCAGACTACTGGGGAAAATGCAGTTTAAAATAGTTCTCTTGACTCGGTGCCTATAGCTTAGTGGCTAGGGCACTGGCCACA